CACCCACATCCACCCACACCCACACCCACACCCACACCCACACCCACACCCACCCACACCCTGTGTTATACTTTCTTGGACTTAAAACGATCTCATGCAATGTTATATTTTCTTGAATAAGTGCACCTCGTGAAACTGAAAAATTAATATCTTTGTTAACAAAACAGAACGTTTAAATGCTTTTGTAATTAATTGATCGAGTGATGATGTTTTAGTCTTTTCCACCTTTATATAAATTAATCATCATGTATTCATTTCTTCAATATGTATCGAATATTAAAATAGCACTGAACGCCTTTACAATTGTAAAACATTGCGAATAAGACACAATTTTCCGTCTACAATTAATTTCCTATTGACATCAATTACATTTATATAATCTAATTGTTTTTTAATTAGTTAAGTTAGATAATCGTTTCATTCTAGACTCATGAAACATGATTGATAAATGAACTTCGTGTATGATCACTCTAAATGAATTTGAATAAAAACTTAAATATATAATTTTTTCTTCTCGATTCAGAAACTCTGTTGGAAATTTACTCAAAAAAGAATAATATCTTTATACGGACTTTGCTAACTCAAAGATCGTTTATTTTATTTAATAAAAGCAAAACACATTTTATAAAAATGAATACTACAAATCTTGCAATCATTGCCAGTCGAAAAAGAGATTATCACCTACACGTTTAATTGTAAAATTCAATAAAAGTTTTTCAAAATTAATCATTCGTTTTTATTTTTTAATCATTTCATCATCTGCTATTGGAATACGAAAACACAATAAACAAAGATGATCATTACAATCATCTTTAATTTTTTTGAAAATATATCGTAAAACAAATTTGAAATCCATACGTTTTATAGAATTAATTTTTAGATATTCCATAAAAGGACATAATTCCAAAGAAAATAAAATTCTTCAATATCATTCATCATCTCAAGGTATACTTTTGTAATTTTGCTTCTATCTTCCATTGAAGCCAAAGTAAGAAGTTCTTCAGAATTTAACATTTTCGATCCATGTAATGATAAAGAATGAATTTTTAATATAGTAAGTTCTGATAATAAACTTACAACTTCAATTAATGCAGCAACATGAACGCTTTCTTCTGAAATTTCCAAATGATAAATTTGTGCTACAGTCAAAATATGTGTGTGATATTTATCGTCATAGACTCCTCAAAATCATCGTTATCAACAAACGTGATAATTAGTCGAGTAGATTTAGAATATTCAATAGAAGAATTTAAAATCTTATCTTGTGTATATTCATACCATCTTTCTCTAATAGAATAGACAAAAAAATAATCTATTTCATATAAAAAAGATATTGTCAACATGTACCTGTATGGACGAACAAAATAATTGATAGATTCATGATCGATTTCAACTTCAAATGTCCATTGTCATTTAATCTAAAATGATGAAATGAGTTGATCTGGCATTCCAGGATAATGATATTCTCTATTAAAATTTTCAATATATCGTAAATAGAATTTTTCCAATTGAGGAAAAGATTCTAAAATTAATTTTTCCCATCGATAAACATTAAGAAAAGTTAAATCTTGAGATTGAACAGTAACACGTAAAACTTTTAATTTCGCATCTATTCTTCTGATGATTATTTCAAATTCATAAAATTTTAAATAATTCATAGGTATCGAAATATCTGTTAATTTTGATAATGTGATTGGCAATATAGTTTGAATGTTTCTATGAAAATCAAATGCATTAAAAAGATATAGACGACGAAGTTGAGGTGTATAAGACATAATAGAAATCAGTTCATTGTAAGTCCAACAATGATCAATGGCAAGATATTCAATAGTACTCAATCGTTGATTAGTAACCATTGGAATTTAGATTTTTCTATTATAATTTGACATGATCATGAGCGATTTTAATTTTGGTAAGGCAAATATTAATCGATAAATATCATGGAGATTATCAGGATTATTTGATGTGTCGATAGTTAAAGAGAAAAGACGAGGTAGATAAGCTAAATTACTAAGAATTGAGGTTAAATTATCTACTTTTTCTCTAATAGAAAGTGATTCGAGACAGATTAATGATGAATCGAAGGTTAACCATGAAAAAGAATTATTTTTTAATACTAAACATAAATCAATAGAAAATATTTTATGCCGACTAAGAAGAAGATATAGCCTATAACCACTTATATATGATTCATTATATATTGCACCATAAAGTGCAACTTTAAGTAGAAGAGATGAGGAACTAAGAAGTTTTTGAAAACGTTGATTAAGATGTGACAATGCTGTATATATATATCATAACCATCACGATAATCAAATATTTTATAGAAAAATTCATTAGATAAATTTTCAATGCAAGTTATTGATCGATCGAATTCATCTATTTATATGAAAAACAAATACAAAAAAACTCTATATGTATTATTCAAATAACTTACTACGTAATTTTTTTGCTTCTTCTATTGATGATTGATTAAAAGTGAGTTTTCGTTTAACTTGATCCATATGTCTGTGTTTTAAACATTTTAAATTAAATGGATAATTCCTATCTAAACAAAGAAAAAATAAAATAATTAACTCTTATTCTATACTACATAAAAAGAACATCATCACTGAAGACACTGAATATTTATTCTGAAATGCTTGATGTTTCTTTTATGTGTTCAGGGTAAATCAGAATTCTTCATATCTAATTAACGATAGATATTTCTTTTTACAAGTCATGATGAAAATATGTATAATTATGTACGTACCAACATACACAATTTAGAATTTTGATAAAATATTTACCTATTATTCAATCTAAAAAAACAGAGAAAATTATTATTGAAAAACAATCATACAACTGTACAGTGTGATGAACTGGAGAATTAACTATCGTTATCATTGATAGTGATCTTTATCTAATTCAGCCACTTTATCAATTCAGTCCTGTGATATATCAAGACGAAAATATTCTTGTTTATACCACACACGAAGAGATCATACAACGACAAGAAAGGAAGCATACCATTCATTTTTTTACATTTATATTTGAGAATGGGAAAAAATAGAAACGTGAAGAAGAAAAGAAATAAATGTACATATTTTAGAACAAGACATAGTAGGTACAAAGCTGTTTTTTTCAGTGATAGATATCATACCTCCCACAAAGGATGAGAAAAAACTATTAAATTGAAAAAGAGAAAAGAGAAAGCACGTCAATAGTTAATTAAGATATAACAAAAAAGACAAAGATAGTATGTGGAAATGAATTGGCTAATGAGAAACTGCATATTATCGTTAAAATGGTTATCAAGTATTGAAATATACCGTTCATCAATCGTTACAGCACAGATGAGTAAATTCCCAAATTTAAGATATTTTATTATAATGTTAGAATAACAACAGCGGATGACAAAGAACATTATCATACTTAAAAACAATTCAGTTTTACGTTTTTACTTAGCGAATCATACTTTGTCAATCTGTGCTTTGAGGGTGTAAGTGAGTTTTTCCTATCTTCGATAGAACTAAGAAGCAAGAAATCAAAATGAAATTATACATAATCTAGCATGAGATCTATTCTGACAAACTTTTATACTATGGTATTATCAAGACGTTATTGGATATGGGTCTCGATATGATTTTTCTTGTGATCTGTCGCCACATCCAAGTCGATGAAAGAGTTTGGAAATTTCTTTTTTGAAATAAATATAAAAATGCAAAAGTACATAAAAAAGCTTGTCAGCGCAGCTCCTTTGGAGCTGAAATGTGGAACTCACGTATATCCTTTCAATTTGCTATTCTACTGCATTATTTGTAAACTAAAACATACTATTTTTTCAAATAATTATGAATGCATTAGAATACTGTATAGAATCTGAAGCCTTTTGTGCGCGGTTGTTGACGTCTGTAATGGTGCCCTGTCTGTAATGGGGGGCTGTCTGTAATGGGGGGCTGTCTGTAATGGGGGGTGTCTGTAATGGGGGGGGGGGGGGAGGGGAGGGGGGGGGGCCGCCAACCTCGAACTTAAAACTTACACTCACTATTTTCTTCGAAAACATACGTGAGTTCCACAAAAACAATGACCGCAGGATGCAGATGTGGATAGATGAGAGTGAGCAGAACACACGTACATCCACATTCCTACATCGATATCTATTTTATTAGAATTTTATCGAGATTTTTAACTGTTGTGGACTCGATTACAAACACAGTCAGATATGGAGATGGCAAACCATTTATTGCATGAATCACAACGATTAAATTTTGTGACCACATGAGACATCACTTTATCAAATTCCAAGAATGATCCGATCTATTCTTTCGAATGATAATTATGTTGTACCGCACAGCAGAGACCTATCTTAATCGATTCAATCAGTATTTGATATTTCATCTGATCTGATATCTTTTGAATGAATTCTGTTTCAATTGATTCCGATATGTTAATCTTTGACGAAGAAAAGAACATCTAACAAACGAACAACTGATTTAATAAGAAACTTCTTCGTTAAATAATCAATCTGAACACGATTCGATGATCAATCATTTAGTTCGATTTTGTTGCCATCGAACGGTAGGGATGAGGCCCTTTTGTACATCAATATACACACCGTTTGCAAATTTTCTTTCTTCTTCGTCAGTTTCAGGATTTTATAATTAATTTACCAGTAGCATTCACTATTAATATTTGTCAATCGACTTTATTTTATTTTTTTTTATTATCTTCTTCTTTTCTTTCTCAAAAAAAATCGTTCTTTTGGGGAAAGACAGAGACAATACTTTATTAGAAATACATTAATTCGATTTCTCTCAGATGTCATGTTAAAATATTAATAGAAAGAGAATGAGCCTTATTCCCAATTCACTTGTTGACCATGAATATATACAAAATATGGTCACACACTAGCTTGTTTGTTACTGATGACAATCGTCTCTTTTTTTTCAATCATTTTATTGGCAAAACAGATGCTTCTTTGTTTCGTTCTCTGTTTCTGAAAGAAACGATTAACACTGAAAAGATAGAGAAGTTATATTCGTGCATATTTCTGAGTAATATAATAAACAAGAGCAAACAAAAATAAAATTCAAGCATTTCGATTATGGTTCATGTGCTCATTCGAAAGTAGTCCATGCCCAATAGGATCATTTCTCGCGCTCCTTTTAAGAACTACACAACACCCATCTACACATTTCTGACGTGGGCCTCATATATAGGAATATTGTTTTCAAGTACAGTACGAACGCAATTCAAGTACCAATCCTATCTCTGGTTTGAAACTAAAATATGTTTGAATAGGCAGTCACTTAGTTTTGTGATAAAAATGATTTTTTATGCGTGACCTGTTTCAAAAAATAAATCGTTTCTTAAGACGTAGAGAACGTCATAAAGGAACATTTCTTTTGCCAACAGAATGATTAAATAAGAGAAGGATAGATAAAAGAAAAGAGAGCGAATTTAGCAACATATGAGTTAGTCTGTGACGAATTCTTTATGCATAATCATAGCCAATAAGTGAATTTAGCATAAGGCTCATTAAATCTTTTCTGGATGATAATTCTTCGCTTGAATTTGAGATACTATTTTATTCAAAATCAATATTTATTATTTTCTTCTCGATTCGTCCTTTGAGAAAAACTCGAAGTGGAAAAGAGAAGGTTGATAATTCATTAATGGTGATACAACTGGTAATAAAACGAAAAATTAGCCTAGATACCCATTTTACTTAGTAATACATGAGCATCAACGTACAAAGCCACAGTAACTCGACGAATAACAATTAACTTATGAATAATGTTTATTTTCATTCCACAAATATATTCTATCACTAGCGGGTATCCTAGCATAAATTGCATTACATAGAGATATGGGTGTGGGTATGTGCGTATACAAGAGATGGATACACAACTCCCACACCCCATATTGCCTATATGTTTCGCTGTACAAAAAAAGGCAAAATATTGCATTTTACTGTTGAACATATTTTTTTGTTGATTGTTTTCGTCATGTTTAAAAAGATTATTATCGCAGAGCCATGATCTTGCTTTATAACTTCTCATATTGAACTTACATATATGATAAAAATGTTTTGATTTGAGATGTTTTAGTCATCTGACGTTTCTACAAAACTAGCCTAATCTTTTTAGATGTTAAAAAGTATTTCACACTTGAAAAGTTTCCCTCGTGAGATAAAAAGAAAAATATTCTAATATTATGAAAACTTTAGTTAGCAAATGGTTCTCACTCAGTGGGCTAGGTTGTTGCATCACCAGCTAAAACAATGAACGAAATGTATATCTTAATATCACACATGTCGTTTACTAATCATTGGCAAACATTGCAGATCAGACAGAGTGAGTATTTTTAAAACAACAATAGTCATAGTTCTATGATGAATGAGTAAAACACAAAGTATTGGTACAGTTCCGCCGCTACAACCACAAAGCAAACTGATTGTCTTTATATTCAACCGCGAATGAATCGTCTGCCTTTAAATAAGTGTAATTAATCAACCATTGTTGAAGATTTCTGCGTGCTTCATCCGATGGTGGACCATTCATGTTGAGAGAAGAAAGTGGCTTTTTACCGTTCCAGGCAGCAAGTACTGTTAGTACAATCGAATCTATGACCATGTTTGAGTCTTTCAGAACCAGGAAGAGTTGACGAAGACATCTGAATATTCTAGCGATGCATTGCAATAGATCCGATTCGATGCCCTCCCAGTCATAGATAACGAGATCAATGATTCGCTGTTGCAGCAAATGACAGGTTGACTTGTCATCGAGCAGAGTTTTGAGACAATTGAAATCGATAGTCAAACTGTCGACATTAGGCGCAGCTTTGAGCAAATCGAATAGTTCACAAATTCCAG